GTATTATCACATGGTTAAAACAAACCGATCCTATTGTTAAAGTTTGAAGTTGATGACTGCTGACTTACATATGTAGAGTGGTTACTTCTTTATGATATACCTGCTTCCCTCAAGCATGGTGGTAATTCGACTGAATTTGAGATGCTAGATGATGACTTTGAGTAGAACTAACGACACAAACAATAATTACGTCTTCAGATCTCCATTATATATATATATATATATATATATATATATATATATATATATATATATATATATATATGCTGGAGAGCGGACAACTCTGTATCTCTTATAGAAATGATGTTTGGATGAAATATTTGATAACTGATGAAAGTTTGATATATGATAAATAACCGGATCTTGAAGTTCTGTCATTCGAACACCAGATTGATAATTATTACTTCCATGAATATGACAATAGAGAATACTTATCTGGTATAGTCTAGTGAATATACTTTTAATGTTTGAAACGGAAGCTGGCTTACTATTCATATATCTAATACGGTGCCATAGTATACCCCACTATTTTAAACTGATAGATATTTATCATTTTGTCTATCTGAGATAGCCATAGTTTGGCAGACTAGTATTCATACTGCGTGATGATTGAAAGTGAAGTGGAAATTTAAGCAGTTACAGGACTGAAACCAGAGACCATCGGGTTACCAGCCTCATGATCTACCAACTGAGTTATGAGGTCCAACTATTCACCACATTTTCATTTCACTTCAGTCACTCGTTTGCTGAGAAACTAACAGATGAATGTAAATAAATGAATAAGAAGGAATTAATAATTCAATAGTCAGTATATTATGTGTTTACATTGTGTATTCAGTAGAAGTTAGCTTGATTATCGAGAAAAATCTTCTCTACTTAGAAAAAAACATCTGATTGATTTCTTTGTCGTAAAGTATTGTGGATTGTCTCCACTAATACCAATACCAGAAATGTTACTTACTATTGTACACTGATAAGTAATCAGTAGTTCTTCGCTGGTAACCGAACCGATTCCGTTTGGTGAGTTATATCTTTCATGCATGTGCTAGTAACTACTGTGAAAGTGAATTCTCTTGAAAGTCTCCAGGAGCCACATGAGAGGACTTGGTTAACTAAGTGTACTATATAATAACTCAACAACATCATTTCTATACCCTGAAAAAGTGTCATTTTCTAAATGTTCACCGCTTTGGCATTATCAAAAAGTATTGATACAAAGTAAACTTGGTTTCTTTGCCTCTTCTTGACCATAACTATATATCATTCAGACTTTTTTCACGAGAAAAGGATGTGAATATCTAACAGCAGTAAAGTTGAAGTTATCTGTTGAAAACAATACAAAAAACCTATTAAGACGGTATGATATAAAAACAATTATATATACTAAAAACTATACCTGTCACACGAGAAGTGGCTATTATAGCTCGGTGGTGTAGTGGATAATGCCCTGAAGTTTGAAGCGATAGTTCCCGATTCCGAATCCCAGTGGAAACAACATCAGTCACTGGGAGGCAGGCACATTCAACTGAGGAGTCCCAAATAGGACGAAATGCACATCCTGGATTCTACTGCTAGCCACTATCCATCATTACAACCTATTACATCCTTTGCATTAAACGGTTTTCATCATTTCATCTGAAGTTTAGATATGATATTGAAGGAATTTTTAAACATGATCTGCTCAACGCAACTAAACTGATTGATCAAGTCAAAATGAGTCACTCATGAATAATGCAAGCGAACTGTCTCACTATCAAGGCACCAGTACAACTCAGATCATACTAGCCAATTAATAGGAGATGATTTAAATGTTAACGGTATATCTGTTTACTATTATTTACACAGGTTTTCTTCACTACTTTTGTCTAGGGAATTATTTTATTCACAAAGGGACTTGTGAATGCAGTCTATCTTGAGTTGTTTAAAGAGTAAATGCATACCTCATTCACTGTAAATGCAGGTTAATACGTTAAAACAGGAAATGGATCATTTATTCAAGCACTGTTAGAAAAAAAAAAGCTGTCTAGCTATTCATTGACATATGTGCACACATACACACACTAGGAGATATTCAACTAGATGCATATTTACACATTACTGTACACACCTAGAAAGTGTTTACTATCTCATCTTTGATGCTTATAAGTAAACAGCACTGGAATTATCAATTTCCTTTCGATGGAACACAAATCATATGATTATGCCAAATTAATAGGCGAACAACTCACTAATTAAGTTTACATGACTCTCATGACTATAAAGCTTAGAGTTTAATGAGGGAGTGAGAGAGAGAGAGAGAGAGAGAGAGAGAGAAATGAAGGAAACAATAAATGATACAAAATAGGTCTTGTATAAATTATTGAATATTTGTGAATACGCTTATCTACCTACGGGTATCCTTATAATACTGAAATACTAAGGTATACATATAAATAATAGTATAAAATGCATATTTCCTATTTGCATAAGGATTATGTGTGTATGAGGAATAATGGTCGGCACAAAATTGTCGGTGCTCATTCAGTAATATTATAACTGTTTCTAGTTATTTATTACCTATAGTCAGTGTATATTTATGATCATGTTCGTATTGGACTGAAAAACCTATCGTAAGGATTATTTTTTGGCGTATTCATTTCAATGTCATTAAGGGAAGTAATACCTTCGGTGAAATATCTTCCTTTACATAGTGGGGTATGAATCGCATAGTCTAACCATACCGCTATGCATTGTGATGCGAACGGTCTGGTGCTAAGATTACTAACTCAATCGTTCACTGTCATAGGTTTAAGCCTGTGAGACAGAACTTCTATCAAAACTAGAAAAGTTTCTGACCACACAGAAAACGGAGTTAAGCGAAGCCTCCTACCGTCACCAGAATATCACGACAGAGGGAAAAGAGGAAAGTGAGTTGATAAGGTTGTGAAACTTTGTCGACTAGGATATAAGTTGCACATGCAAAGTCACCATCGGCTTCGTCACGAAATGTTAACCAGAGTTGGTCTAAGCTGGGAAAAGGGTAGAGGCGAAGAGACTAAAGCATGTAGTCCTTGACTGTTAGTACGAATCATGTAGGTAAATGTATACTTCCCGAGTGAGGTCAGTGTGACAATAGAAATCAGTGGTTGGGGACTCTACGTAACATGACTCAGAATCGATGCCAATGACGCAGACATATCCACACATTATCTTCGTCTTGATCGATATGCTAAATTCAATATCTTATCATCCCTCCTTCCTCTCTTTTACTGCAACCAACTGCTTGTGATCGATCCTTCTCTATCCCTTCATCTGTCATCTTAGGGCATTCTCTGTTGATATATGTGGCAGATTGAACAGTTACAAAGTAATGCCTGATCATATCTTGGTGACGATGATCCTATCGGTCAACTTAAAGAGAAAAATATCTAGCAAATATATTAAGTTCTGAAATATGGTAAAAAAGATATTCCAGTACAGTTTACGAATAAAGATAAATTAATTATTCTATTTGGAGGTTTGTGGGGATTAATCGGCTTCAAAGCAGTATTCGTCATGGACTGATATCATTTGGAGAGCCACTGAAAACTTGGGATCACTTGACAACTGTTTCTCCCTAGTAAGGGTCTCTTCAACAGTGTCCAACAACGACCCCACTAAGGATCAAACTCAAGACCTTAAGGTCTTATTGCTGGAACACTGTCATCAAGTTACTTGACAGGAATTCAATGGTCAACTTCATCCCACTTCCGAGTGGCAATGCACTCATCACAAAACCCAAAGGTCCTGGGTTCGACCCCGGTGGGAATGATTCATGATGAATCAAAATAGGTCAGTTAATTTTGTTTTTCATTGTTATGAGTGACATTTACCATGGTATGTAAACTGGAAACTTTGATAAATGTTTTTATAGATTTGAACTGTCAAACAACTTTCTGTCTGTTCCACTGTAGAGATCATGTGACCCACTTAACTGAGTAGGGATTAAAAGCAGTCTCTTTAGGAAGCAGTGTACAGAATGGTTATAAAATACATAGAGTAGTTTCACATACCAAATGAAAGTGATGCATTCATTTGGACTTTAACTTAAAAGCCCCTAACTTCCGAGTAAATTTATTGACTAAATTGTCCAGAATGTCACATTTTTATCTCCAACTATACAGCGCTGAACTTCTGTATCAATTATCTCACCTTACCAAAGTACGAGTGTAGCTTGCTATCACTTAAATGCACCTGCTTAGGTAAATGCTATTCTTTATACTTTAATCTTGTAGTCTATTTGATGGCTAGTAGTGGAATCCAGTAAGCCCGTTTCATCCTATTTGGGACCCGTCAGCTAGGTTCACCTGCTCAGTAGTGGGTGATGTTGTTCCTACTGAGACTCGAACCTACTACTCATCAATTCAAACTCTAGGTCACTGGGGCCACCACTTTAATATATTTTACATTTTGTAAGCTTAATAGTATGAAGTATGGAGCAACTTATGAAATCTTAGGTTACAAGTGAACAGTATGATACATATCCGTCATTTGAACGGATATTTATTCATTGGTTTTCAGGAAAGAACGTAACATGCATCTAGGCTTTTTAAAACCAGGACTGTATACAGTCTCATACTGTAGTGCAATCACACGGGTGCCTTCACCTCGGTGGCCCATAGGTACACTGAATGCTATTCAGTAGTGAATTACATTTTACCACAATGCCTAAATGTTACTCATGGATAAATTTCAAAACAAATCTTTTGTTAACCAGCTGATTTTTTGTCTCTTGTTACTTTCAGTTTTCACACACATGTTGAAGTTTTGATACCTTTGTTGCTATTATTATTTTTTCCTCTCAGCCTATCAGAATTCTTCTTGACCAATAGTCCACTCCTTCCCTCATAAGTCAAAAGAGATGGGATAGGAATTAACAGCTGTCCAATCAGAAAAGAAATAATTAAGAATTACACATCTACCAATGAGATTAGAGAAATCACTTGTAGACTTGATAAATACTGCAGCGCATTTCCGGAATCATTTTCATTCAGATATACCACCTAGTTGAGTATTTACTAATTAGGATCGTGAATAATACTTACTTATATTGCGGATTTATTAACTAACAGTGGAACCTCTCAATGACTACCCCTAATGACATTCGAGTAAGTATAATGTTTTAAATCAAGTCTATATTTATTTCGTTGGTATGTAATCACAACAAAGAAAGCATGAGTATGAGTCAGAAGACGGTCTTTAAACCAAATTTGAATTTCAACCCGTATATATGACTTTGTCTGTAAATAATACTGATTAGTTTGCGGTTCACAAAGTCATCTTAGTTCTAACCCCAAGCCAGTAAGTAAATTGAATCAAGAGCGATCTATTTACTAAAGATGGTTGTGAATCGACTTATGAGGCGATGATAAGCTTTAGTGATGGATCTTGGCTAGCAGTGGAATCCAGGATGCACATTTTGTCCTATTTTGGACTCATCAGCTAGATGTTATGAAGTAATCTGCAGGAAGCCCTGGACTTAGATTTCTTACTTCTTGACACTCATTGGCAAAGCGTATCTGGAGTCTTGACAGAGCTGATGTCTCGCCTAAGATTCGAATCTGCATCGCCCAAGGCTGCAGTCAGAGACGTTGCCACTGAGTCATTTGTGATTTTTTTAGATAGTCTCTTTAAATAGTATCTAATTTCTTCTGAAAAGCATACAATAAATGGTATTTTCGATCAACTGGAAAATATGGTTTAAAATGTTTACTACTTATAAGTAACCTAAATATAAACTTGAAAATGTCGTGTAGACATTGATATAAGCAAAGAACCAGAGCACTCTAGTAGATCATAATTTCAAATTAGACAGTTCAGTGCATTTCTTTCGAAACACGTCCAGTAAATCACACTGCCACTGTATGTTGATCGAATAGACTGTGCAAGTGTTTACTTCAAGAGTAATAATACACTAATGGAATAAATGTATGAATATTATTGTGAATAGAAGTGAAAAGAGGAATCTTACAAATTCCACCTCTTATATACTATGCACAAAAAGGTTGAACTATTTATAATGTGGTTGATTTACATTTAATTTTATATATGATGTGTTCAGTCATGATTCTTCCTTAGAGATCATGTTTACCACTGACATTTCTAATCGACACTTTGAAATACATTCTAATAGAAAGTTTTTAGCACTAACCAGACAAAATGTAATTATCTTTGATTAACTAGTCAAATTTACGTGGTTAAGATGACCAGTCAGGTGGTAATCTTGTAAGAAGTATTCTGTTTCCACTGTCTGGACGTCATAAACAAAACATACAGACAAGCTAAAGCACGTGCTGTTCACAAGTTTTGTATACGTGTCATTTTTGATAATGTATCCTGCTATATATATATATATATATATATATATATATATATATATATATATATATATATATATGCATAAAAGGATATCAGGTGAAATCATTTATCATTGTCAATGAATATGGGTTTATAAATCATGTAGCGGAACATTCCTGCTTTTGTACAGTACTGCATCTTATATGCCCTAGTAACCAATGTTATTAAATGTAAAAGAAGTAAGAATGATCAGTGTAGTACAAGGTTTGTATAGTTTTGCTAGGAAACAATATGAACAATATGATTATTTAGTTCCGGGGATAGTTTTTACTAAGACATCGTAAAACAATCGATGATTGAGGAGATTTTGAACCGTAATTAGATTCCACTAGTGTTTTTCAATTATTCATCCTTGTATTTTACGGTTTTTAGTTCGATTAATTTATTTTCAAAGTTTTAATTATTGTTTTGTATTGTTATCATTATTCTCATCTAGTCAAGAATGTTAAACAGAGCTTCTCGATTAATCAGTGGGGTTAAAAATGAAGAAGCTTGGCATTTAATTGGTTTATTTCAACAAACTCATCCTAACACTTTCCTTCAAATTTGTCATCATACATTGGCATCATTTCTGGAATTAACTCATGATTACTTTGATCAAGGATGGCCTTTATTAACTCGACTATTAATATCTAATCAAAAGTCAACAGAACATCGTCGACGACGTTCACGTAGTAATACTAATCATACAAACAAGAATAATAATAATAATAATATACATGAAGTATTTGAATCACCAATTGGTAATCCATTGTTTATTTCAAATAATAACGATAAATTCACTTGTTTATCTCCAGTATTATCTAATTTGAAAACATCCAATATTGATAACCAATCAAAAAAGTTTAAAACAAAAACTGGAAGTAAACGTATATTAAAACAATTACTTCCTTCAATGTTTCCAATGCCTAATAGTCATAATGATAACAGTGTAACAAAAACTCCACGTCTTGATCATACATCTACTAAACAATCTAACCGATCACATTCAAAAACAAGTAAGTATACTGCTGATAACTATATTGTAATAAGGGGTGCTTTATTGGTATACTTCTTTAATGTTATTTTCATATTATTGACACTGTGCCAATCATAAAAGACCAGTGAGTAGTGTTGTTCCCATTAGGACTGAAATCAAGGATCATTCGCTTAAAATGTCAGAATGCTATCCACTCGTGCAACGGGGATAGTTTGTAAATCTATATTGTTGATTGGACCGATAAACTCAGTGGCCCAGTGGATAGCGCTTTGACATTTCATACGCGCAGTGGGAGGTGGATACATCTAGCTGACGAGTTTCAAATAGGATGAGACCTACGTCTTAGATTCCACTGTTAGGCAGTGTTCATCATTATTCAGAGATACAGTTAAATAAGCTACTGTATGAAACGAGAAGATGGAGATGAAGAAAGGAATGTTTATTATCGACATCTTGTATAGTAATCATCAAGTATTGTACATCTATTAAGACAGTCGTTTGTACAATGTGCTTCTGAATGCACCCGTATTGTCTCTTGCGTTTCTTTGGGCAGAATATTTACCCATTACTGGTAATTGCCTATGATTTCTACCGCTGTCTCAATACATACTACTTATATCTATTCGGATCAGCAACGCTGATCAGCGGATCCACAGTGAATCAATGAATTGTTTTGAAATTGTAGTATTCAACATCACTACTTCTACTCTTAAAGTACTTGAATTATAGACTTTACTCTATCTTCCTTTTAAATTAATCAAAAATTTATTTGATCAACATAAAATTCAGATTACTTAGATCTCAGGCAGTTATTAAGCTGAATAAGTTTTGTCTCAAGAATACTTTTAATTGAATGTATTCACTTCAACACTTTTTTCATGATATCCATAAGAATACATCAGATTAGGCAGTAACTTGGTAACAATCTTCTTATTTTTCGTTTGTATCTTTGTTTGCATAAAACAGTATGACCTGGTATTTTGTAGCCTGGTTTTAAACGTATACATCGGCAAATATATTAAGCTATCATTGTCAAACGGAAAAGCAAGACAGGCGTTCATTAACCTGAAATCAATGTGAAGATATTCTGCACTCAGCATAAAGAACAAGATTCGGATTTCCAACACCAACGTCAAGTCAGTGCTTCTATATGGTTCAGAGACTTGGCACGTCACGAAAGATATTTCCAACAAACTACAGATATTCATCAACAACTGCCTACGCTCGTTGCTGAAGCTCAGATGGCCAGAATTGTCAGAATAAGCAACAAGGAACTGTGGGAACAAACCAAAAAAGCAAGAACCTATCGCTCAACAAATATGCTGAAGAAGAGAGTGAAGATGGATTGGGCATGCAATGACAAGGCCGACTGGGGACATCACACGTCAGGCCAGTTGCTCGAGTGGAACCTGCATGGGAAACGACGAGGTGGGCGTTTGAGCTGAGGGTGACATGGAGAAGATGGTATGAGGAAGAAATGAGAGCTTGTGGGCAGTGGTGGAGCCAGGTTTAAAAGATTGCAGAAAAGAGAGTGGAATGGAGACGTACCAGTGAAGTCCTATATCCTACTAGGAACCCAAGGGACATATAATATAATAATATCATTGTCAAAATCCTTGTCTATAACATGTTTACCTAATGGATAAATTTAGATTTGATTCAGTGAACCTTAATACAACTCCAGTGCTCAGGAAATAAATCGATATACTAATTCAATGAAGATTACTAAAAATTTTCCACTAATGATTATTGATCAAGTGCATATTTCAGTATATTTAGACCTTATAAATGCCACACTGTCCATTCAAAACACGATCCTAAATATTTTCTCTATGAAACTGTAAACAATAATTCCATGATTACAGTAATTAAATCTGAATACTAATTGTTTAATGCGATATTTGTGTTAACTCATTCTTCGTTTTCATACTACATTTTTAGTTATCAATGACACCACTTGAGATAGTTATGGTTAGGTATTGCAACTCAGGTTTTCTCATTTCACCCCCAAGTCATTACACTGTACACATTTTTCATGTAAACAACAATCATACTTCAGTTTGACATTCGTCATGGAGCATTGAAAACCTGGGACCACTGGACACCTGTTTCATCCTAGCACAGGACTCCTTAAGAGGGAGAGTACCCATGACCCCGACGGGGCTCGAACCAGGGACCTTCCATTTCCATTACCAGACTCCAAATTATATTGATACACTTATTAATCACGTGCACCTTTGTAAAGTAGGGGATGCATCACACGTATTATGTGACGGGTAATGTTAGCACATGACTACCCAGACCTACTGGTTGAACTTCAAATAAGCCACCTAAATCAATGAGTCATAGTTACACCGTTGTTAAACTAATTATGCTTTATTCAGTCTTTCCAGAATATCTATTGTGTTTATAGTGTAAATAAATAAAGTAAATAAATTATTCAAACTAAATCAAGTATAAAAGGAAGAGGAAACATTCGACAGATGACTTGTCATAGATGATTTCTTCAACACATTAATCTTTTCTGATTTCTAGTTCGAATAGGATATGTAACATTCGTTACAACTTAGTTATTACTTAACACCTGTCAATTTATTTCCTCAATTTTCTTTTTATATCCTACCTCATAATTTCTTGTTAATTAAGTCACGTGTACACAGATATGAATGTATTAATAGTGTGTATGTGTGTGTGTTATCTGTGTGTTTTTATTACAGAATCCTTCTTCAGACATGTTCAACCATTGTTTTCAAGGTCAGCATCTGGTGAATCTGTTCAACAATTAAATTATCCATTTATTCTAAGATCGAATCCATCAAAAATAGATTATATGCATATAAATTCAAATTCGATAAATGATTATTCAGCCTACTGTACAAGATATTGTAATGTGGATTCAACAATCTGTGCCACTTTGATTGATTATATGATCTCTAATCCAAGTAAGTACTCTTATTAATAATAGTGATAGTACTGACAATATGTGGATTGGTAAAGTTGTATGTTATTTTTGGCGATAAACTTAAATTGCTGTCAATCCTTACTATTAAACTCCAGTTTAAATGTGTATGTGTGTATAACGTATACGCAAGTGTTTCTAATATGGCATCAGATAAGACATAATAATTAACCACGTCTGGTTGGTGTAAATTAGCAGACTAGTAATCAATTTTACTGATCATGACTGGTAATGTATGATGAAAAACCACTTAAATATATTTGTTTTTTCTAGAGATTCTCTGAAGTTCAACTCATCATTAAGAAACTTGAAATAATGAACGTATGGTTTTGTAAAAAACATTTTTATTCTCTTACTGTACATGGATAAGATAAATGAAGCGTTACTTTACCAACAAGTTTATTGTATTTAACATGTTTTAAGTAGATTTTAATCACTTATATAAAGGATGAGAAAAAAAAAAACTTCGTGAGCTTATTGTTAATTGAATGAAGGGATTGAACAACTACAATTAATATTGTAAACACTGAATAACCTCATCAACTGTAGAATCAGATTAAGCATTTTCGACTGGGTTAAATTCAAAAAATTTGGGATATGATTTCTTGGATATTTTATATTAATGATAGATAGTAGCTAGCAGTGGAATCTAGGACATGCGTTTTTTTGTCCTACTTAAGATTCATCAGGTGGATGTACTTACTTCCCAATGAGCAATGTTGTTACTAGTAAGACTTTAACCGGAGACTGTGAATCGCTTTAAACTCTTCAATGTTATCTATTAGACTGCTGAGTCACGATAGCCGCCTATTGTGAGATGTGTATAGTTTTTATGTTGTTAGTTGTAGAGTGCTTTATCCTAAGAGAAACAGAGATTTCTTCTGAACAGTTTAGTGATATCAGACAGTAAAGTCAAATTTTATGTATTCTTTCAGGTAGCTTGTTGAACTATCCGAGGTAGTCTTGTTTAGCAAACTGAACTCTATGTAAAACATTGATGAAACTCTAGTTTTACTGTAAGATTTTAGTTAAAAAAATAGCATTGCATCTTGTCACTGACTTATTTCACACTGTGGTGATATATTTTAAGCGTATCCTGGGTGATATTATGAGTCTGCTCACAGAATAGTAATGATAGAACCTAACTGAAAACGACCAGTTTTGTTTCACATAGCATCGCAAAACATTTCTTTGTGTAGTGAACTCTTAGTTAAAGTTCTACTTTCTAGATATGAAAAAAAGTTATTCATAAACACTCGACAAGAAGAGGTTACCATACTGCAGTGGGTAAGTGGATAATGCAGGCAAGAAAGGAAAGCTGACTGATGAAATTGTGAACGTTCATTGGGTGATATAGATTGGACATGTGCTGCGCATGTCGAGCCACCGCCTACCTTTATGTGCTACACTAAGGAAAGCTGGATTAGGCTGGAAGAGGATTCAGGGTAGTCAGACCAAGACCTGGCACCAGTCGAGTAAGTCTCTTACTATTGGTTCCAGTCATGTTGGGAGATGTTATCTGCCCGATTGAAATCCCCAATACGAAGGGAGTTAGTGGTTGAGGAATGTCGCTGATCTGGCTGAGAATCGGTCACAATGACACAGATGTATTCATTCTCTGACGTCTTCTAAAGCTTAAATATTCACGTTAGTCTATCTTCAAACTGCTTATTTTTTCTCACTACCTAAGCTTCTTTGATATTTTTCTCTTTCTATTCATCCGTTCTTTGTGTACTACTGCAAAATGTGGCAATTTGAGGCAGTGCACCTATGTGAGAGGTTCTACGTTAATTTCGTCTATGGGTAATGTGTTAACCACACAAACTTGAAGGTCTACAGGCGAAAATTAACAACTTGACAGAAGAGGTGGTGAAGACGGGACTTCAAGTGGATGTAGAGAAGACAGAGGTGATAGGGATACCCAACCAATAACAACAACAAGCACCAACCACCATGAACGAGAGAAATCTAAAGGAAGTTTTCTCTTTCACCTACCCACGTTGGTAGCATCGTTTCAACTACAGTTGACAGCGGCACAGATGAAGACATCAAAGCAGCCATGATCGGAAAGACATCAAGACAGGCCTTCCTTCATTGATCTGAAACCAGTGTGGAGATCCACTCCACTCAGCATACAAATCAGGATCCGTATATCCAACACTAATGTTACTCAAGTCAGTGATTCTATATAGTTCAGAGACTTGGTGCATCATGAAAAGCATTTCCAACAAACTAAAGACATTCATCTACAACTGCCGCCTACGCCCACACTCACTCGATACTGAAGATCAGATGGATGGTCAGAAAGAATCAGCAACAAGGAACTCTGGCTGACTGGCAACGAACCAACCAAGAACACATCACCCAACAAGTATACAGAGGAAAGTGGAGATGGATTGGGCTTACACTGAGAAAACCATCCAGAGACAACACGCGCTAGGCTAGGCCGTTGAGTGGAACCTGCATGGGAAACGACGAGTCGGGCGTCCCAGCTGAGGGTGACATGGAGGAGATGATGTGAGGAAGAAATGAGCGCTTGGATCGAGGTTGGAAAGGCTATGGAGAATAGAGAGGAACGGCGACATGCTACTGAGTCCCTATGTTCCACTAGGTGCCCAAGGGACAAATAATAATAGTAATAATAATGCATTAGTGTTTGAAGTGATGGGTGTTAGGTTCAAGTCCCAGTCGGAATAACATCACTCATTGGAATGCAGACACACCCACTTTATGAGCCCTAAATAGGGCGAAGCACCCATCCTTGGTTCCACAACTACTCACCAACATTCAGCAATGGAGGTAATACTTCAAGTTATTGCTTTAACTATGATTGATACTGGTACTTAGTACTGATATAGTGATTCATTAATTTACCAAAATTATCAGTATTTATTATTTTACAAAATAATAAGTGTATTTTCTTTGATATTTTAGATTTATGCTTAACTGAAGGCTTATTCCGTATACCTGGGAATAGTCTACGTATACGTGATTTATGGTTAAAATTACATCATCATTTTCAAACACCTTATCTACGTATACCTCAACCTGAACCAGATTTAATTGATGAAAATTTTTCACCATATCCAGTAATTAATCATATTGAAATTAATGAATTATTACAAAGTTATTCACCGCATGATATAACAAGTTTAATTCTACGTTGTTTAACTACATGTACTGAATTTCAACGTATTCATCAAACAATAAATTTTGATATATACGATGTTAATAATTATGATTATTCAAATGATCAGTATTCTTATGATGATGGTGAATTTCAACAAACTGGTGGTTTAATACCATTAGAAGCTGGAAATTTATTGTTTTTAGCCACTGAATTACAATATAAATTAAAGAATAATCATGATAATAAATTGAATGAAATGAAGTATGATGATTGGGTGTATATATTATGTCATTCACGTCAATTATTAGCCTATCGTATTGTATTACAATTATTATTACCAATACCAGAAAGGTATTTATTAATGAATTTATTACGTTTATTCAAAATAATTGATGAATCAAATTCTATATCAAAGATGACAGCTGAATGTTTAGCAAGATGTACAGCATTTGCAGTATTTGGAGCACCATTAAAAGTGAAAACATCCTCTTCTTCATCATATAATAAAGAGAATATTTACAATTGTGAATCATATACTAATTCGCTTACAAAACGTATAGATACATTAACAAATTTAATAAAAATGTTTCATGAATTAGAAGATCTTCCATTACTTATTTACAATGCAGTACGTAATCGTTTAAGATCACATCTTGGTAATTCACCTATTCCTAGAACAGTTTCACAAAATCATAATCATACCTCCTTACATAGACTTACTGAACAATGTTGTCATGGAACATTATATGATTTTGAAAATGAATTATCAATATTCGAGAAATCTAGTGTAAACGATACCCACCCGGTAAGTTGAAGCTAGATTGAAAAAAAATAATTATTATTATGTAATTATGTTAACCTGAGATGTCGAAGATTAATGTGTTTTCCAGTGATGGTGAATTCGGTAGTCTTACTGAAGAGTATGGATTCAGAAAGAGATAGATTATTGTAAAGCTATAGTATCCTGCTTATCGTCGTCGTCGTCGTCATCATCATCATCATCATCATCATCATCAATATAGTTTCAGGCATTACTGCGTAATAGTCCGAGTTGCCATAGCTCATAACAGTACATCAAGTAGAAAGGTAGTGAGGTGAAGGATGACGAAGGAAAGAAAATTCAGTCAAAAAGAAATATAAAGTAGGAGAAGAGAGAAAGGAAGAATGAGAAAATGGTGAGATTCGGTATAGCATGGGAGGATAGTGTGTGCGCCATTGACATCCGCTCTCAATCATATCACCTAAAGTCAGTCTCCAACCCCTGGTTTCTCTTATCCCACGGGCCTCAGCCGGCTAGTCTACATCGTTCCACATATCTCAAAGCAACAGTCACAGACTTCATACATTGGCGCCATGTTTCAGTCTGGTCACCTCGGGCCTTTCTCCAGCCTGGACCTACTTCGACCAACATTGTGTGACGAGGTAATTGGCGACTAGGCATACATAACACGTGTCCCAACCATCTCAGTTGATGAAGGTTCATAACCTCGTCAACTGATTTACCTCTTCTCCATTAAACTCTACACCTGACGTCTTTGTTACTCATTTGGTGGCACCACAGAATATGGCCTATACTAGAAGTGATCAGCATTGAAAGATGCAACTTCACCTCACCCTGTGTGGTCATAATTGCTATTCTCCTCAATAGAATGACTTGGTTAATTGCTTCAACGAAATCCAACTTAGTGCAACGATACTGTTTACTGCATTAATATATACAGTCCATGCAACGCTTTTATTGAAGTCGAGTAACTGAAGTTACTTCTTAAGACAGGGAAAAAGTCAGATAGAGAGTGTAGTTTTCATTTGGAAACAATGCTTATTACAACATTTCCTGATTCTTCCATTTTTACCGCTTCTCCTTATGCCAATAGTAGGTGGATGTCTACTGTACTCAACACAAAGCGTGAACAGTATCCGGATTTTCAACACTAAGTCGTCGAGTCAGTGCTGCCATATGGTTTAGAAACTTGTTGCGTTACGAATGGCATTTCCAACAAACTACAGACGTACATCATCAACAGTTGCCACCTACGCTCACGCGCTACTGAAGATCACATGGTCAGAAAGAATAAGTAACAAGGGACTCTGGCTGACACCAAACCAATGAACCAAGAACCTATCGCCCAGCAAATATGGAGAAGAAAATGGAGATGGATTGGGCATACACTGAGAAGGCCGACTGGGGACATCAAGCGTCAGGCCGTCGAGTGGAACCAGAATGGGAACCCGCGAGTTGGGCATGTGAGCCGAGAGTGACATGGAAGAGATCGTGTGAGGAAGAAATGAAAGCTTGTGGGCAGTCGTGGTGTCAGTTTGAAAAGACTAGAGAGAAGAGAGAGGAATAGTGACATGCTACTGAAGCCCTCTGTTCCACTAGGAACCCTAGGGAAAAATAGTAAAATAATAATAATTTCCATGAGAATAATCATCTTATAAGCTTTCAATGTTACTTATACATTAATGATCTATGCATAATATAATGGACAACGCAAAAAATAACTTAACTTCTAGTTAGTTAACTAACATTCATTACCTAAAATTAGTAACTCAGAGGTCATGTCCTAAATGATGAGTTACTAAAAATAGAACAGGAGAATTTGTTTACCATGTAAACTGAGGTGATAACATTCTATTCATGTAATAGCTTATTAACAGTTAACTGTATATTAATCATATTTTAGAAGATAATAATCTTTTAAGGCTAAGAAACAGAGATGATTTTAAGGTCATCAATAACACTATGATAATGTATAATGTTATGAGTAGTTATTCATGACAAGATTTCCTATATCATCAGATTCTTTTTTTACATTCACAATGATGTTAAAATATATTAAACTTTTATATGAAGCCAAATTTCTAACACTATTTCTAAGACTGTAAATTTACAAAATAAAACTGTTCAATAACAAAAGTGGATACCCCAGTTCTCAATATTCAATATTATATTCCTAACTTTTTAACTTAACACTATTTATACATCTAGAAGGTTTAAAGATAGTTGAAAATTGAAATCATGAAGGATACTGAATAGATGATGTAATTATAAAAACAATAAACCTTATGTGTACAAGAATCTTTGAAGAGGAATTGTACACTGAGGATATGTTCCTAGTGAAATATACGGCTTGAGCAATAGATCGCAATTTCACTGGCTTCTCTATAGTCTTTCCAACCTGGATCCACGACTCCCTATAACCTTTCATTCCTTCCTCACATCATCTTCTCTATATCACCCTCAGCTGGGACGACCAACTCGTCGTTTCCATTCGGATTCCACTCGAGGGCTTGGAGGATGATGTCCCCAAATGGTCTTCTCAGTGTATGGCCAATCCATCTCCACTCTCTTCCTATGCATATTTGTTCGGTGATTGGTTATTGCTTCATTGGTTTGGTATCAGCCAGAGTTCCTTGTTGCTCATTCTTTCTGACCATGTGATCTTCAGTATCGCTTGAAGGTGGGCGTAGGCGGCAGCTGTTGATGATGTATGTCTGTAGTTTGTTGGAAATGCTTTTCATAATGCGCCAAGTCTCTTAACCATCACATGGAACGAGTGACTTGACTGAGTTAGTGTTGAAAATCCCGATCTTGTTCCTTATGCTGAGTACAGTAGATCTCCACACTGCTTTTAGATTAATGAAGGAAGGCCTGTCTTGCTGTCTTTCCGATCCTGACTTTGACATCCTCATCTGTGCCTGTGCTACCGTCGACTGTAGTTGAAATGATGCTGCCCAGTTGGGCAGGTAGTTGAAAAAGCCAACTTCCTTTAGATTTCTCCCGTTGATGATGATTGGTGCTTGTTGTTGTTGTTGTTAGTTGGGTATCATCATCACCTCTGTCTACTCTACGCCCACTTGAAGTCCCGTCTTCACCACCTCTTCTTTCAACTTGTTGGTTTTCGCCGATAGACATTCGAGTTTCAGCGACAAGACACTAGACATAAATCATCATCGGTGGCGGCGAAATCCAAATCTTCTTTTCAAGTCTTTTCATCCGTCCACCCAGCGTATCCCCATCTTCTCACTCCTTACAGTTGTTTGTTGCATGATCCAGTTCAGTCCAGTCCAGTCGACCAGAATCAGGAAGATGATGGGTGATAGTAGGCGGCAAACTTGTCTTACTCCTTCCTGTCCCCTGTCTTCAGTTCAAAGGCGTCACTGAGCTGAGCTTTCCATTGTGAATCACTTCGCATATAGCGTCATTATATAATAATTGAATGAGGTTGATAAATATTTGTGGCAGTAAAACTGTGTTGTTGACGCAGCTACCTCCAAAATTATATCTCGGTCAACGCTATCGAAGGCTTTTACAAATACGATGAAATTGAGATTGAGTTAAGTTGACTGCCATTCTATACTCTGTTCTATGATGATGCATAGCATAGCGTCGTAATTTAATCTGCACATAATTTGTTCTTCCTGAAGCCAGTCAACCAGCCAGCCTATTCCGGTAGTAATTCAGTTGAATATAGAGCATTTTTCAATGTCTCCAGGATTATATGGCTTAATATTTTGCTTGGTATGGACAAGACCATGATTCCACGTCAGCAGTATATATATACAATGACACACATTTTGTCGATTGTAAATAAGAGAACAATTTGAGAGAGAAAGAGAGATCATGGTTATCAGAAAGGTAACCATATCGGTTATTTCTTTTGAGGAAATATTCATCATATGTATAATTTTCTTTATAGAAAAATGTCTTCAGTGTATATTTGCTATTCAGTATAACTCTGAACTTTGTCTTCTTGACGGTTTATTTTACTTACTTCAATGTATACAAGTAATCCTTGAATACATTTATCCTAATGTCTATTACGAATACTTTAAGAATATTTATAATATTTCTAATGTGAAAATAATTAATTTTTATTTAAATTTTTAGATACAAACTGAATGTAATAATAATAATAATATCGAATGTAATCAACATCAAAATATCTTAGCATCACAATCAATTAAGACAATTATTCCACAAACAATGAATAATAAATCTTTACAACAAGATTTAACTTGTATCAAATCAATCAATAATAGTAATATATGTAAAACTGTACCAATTAAAATACAAACAATAAAATCACAAAATAATCTATCAAAAAATTATTTACAACATAAATTTATCACATCATATTCTACAAGTAATTTAGAACCATTTCAATTATGGAAACGTTATAAAACAACAGGTAATCATTCAGAAATGAAATGTACATTTCTTATTAATTCATCATCAACTCTTACTACTAAACATAATAAACATACTAGAAATCCGAATAATAATAATAATAATAATAATAATGAAGAAGTTGTTCCATGTAATAAACTACTGATTAAATCAAGAAGTAGTTCAACAATTACAAACATTTGATACAAGAACATGAAAGTATTCTTTAAAATGGCTGTGATTCATTCATTATAAATATGTATAGAATTTTTTTTTATATTTCATTTTGTTTTCAATAAACAAATAATTATTTAATATTTTGCATATAATTGAAACATTGTATATAACTTTTTCTGTAATTTTATAATTTCTTATTTAATCTTATGAGGAAACACCTGTACATATATATATATATATATATATATATATATATATACGTTTAATATAATTCAGTATTGTAACATCATTAGTAAAAGGCTAAAATATAAGTAACATACTTGGTACCCACTGAGACTCGAACCTTGTACAGATCATTTCAAACGCCAAACGTGTTATTCACTAGACCATGGAGGTATGATAAAGGTTGAACAATTTGATCCAATAAAATAACGGGAAGAATTACAAGCATATCAATAAATAGTAATAATTATTACCTGTTGTACAAGAGGTAGGTATCGTGTCTGGGTGGTATAGTGGATAATGCTTTAGTGTTCGAGTCTCAGTGGGAACAGCGTCATTCACTGGAATGTAATTACATCCAGCTGACAAGTCCCAGATGAGACGAAAGCCACATCCTAGATTCCGCTGACAGCCAAAAATAAGTAAATCACTATAATAAACATTTGGACAGTACTGAGGCATTCGCAAAGGACCCAGTATGTCAACAGAGGTAGCACAATTCGATCCAGTGAAACAATAGAGAATTACAAGCATATCAATAAATAGATTTTCATCTCACCTTCAGTCATCATACAGTATAAGTACTAGTCATCCAAACTACGACTATCTCAGATAGTCAAATGATCATCAGTATGATCCTCTTCCTTCTCTCCGGTTCAGTTAGATTTAGATTGGGATGATAAGTCCTGACTAGGCAGCAGCCAGTGTGAATACGATCAAGTGGTGGAAATGTATCATGAATTCACATGCTAATCGGGAAAAACCCTCCTTGGTGATTCAAGTGATTCGTAACTCAGTACATCATTGTGCCGGAAACACGGTGGTTGCTAGTTCGAATCCTGCCGCAGTCCAGATTTTCATTTCACCGTCAATCATTGCCCAGTAGTAACGATAATAGTTAAAACATAAGTTTTACATAAGGTTTCACTTATTCGTAAGTAATCGATTGAACTCAATACGTTTGTATTTATTCTGTCTAATGGAACCTGTTGAAGAGAAGCTTAGCTGATAGTTTAGTCAAATAACTTGTAAATGTTTATTGTTTTGCATTCCTTTAAAATTCTTGAGATATTCCAGGAACATCTGCTAACAAAACATTTTTGACACTATGATCACAGTTACATTTGGATGAACTGATACCGAGACATAGAATATTCTAGTTTCTGCAAGTTATTTTGTTCCGTGTATAAAGTTATATTACCCATTGGAAGTCTTATCGCATAAGTTTTATCAACTTGTTTGAGTCCAGTGATGAGGCATGGATGATTGGAAACTAGATCCTAATGCTCAGGAAGAACACAAAAACAATTCATTCGCCGAAAAATAATTGATCAAATCATGATAGAATGGTTTTATAAGTTGTTTCATCTTTCCATACAATATTATATGATCGCAGATCTGAACCTCAACTTGACCCGGGCTTCTTCTGGAGGCTTATCTCCACCGCCATAAAAGGAAAGAATTTAATTGTGGGTAGCATTTCACCCATACAAGTGATACTTAAGGAATAGCTGAATCATGGCCAACCATGAGTACGTAACAATTATTAGTATATTAATGATAGACAATGACTACCAGGGGAGTCTAAGACACGCGTTTCATCCTATTTGGGGCTTGACAGCTGGATATACAAGCGTTTGAAGTCATCGGTCGTAGCTTAAAGTCTTAATGGGAACAATATTACTTACTGGGAGGCAGGTACATCCATCCGACGAGTCCCAAATGGGGTGAAAGATGCGTCCTAGATTCCACTGCTAAACACTATCCATCGTTAATATCAAAATCGAAATAGTAGCAATATGAAGGCATCCATACAGAAGCCCATATACCAATAGTGGCCGATCAGTTCGATCCAGTCAACGATGGAGATTCATAAAGAAATTTAGTATTGATTATCATTATGACCATTCGAGATAGCCATGGTTTGGCAGACTAGTGTTAATACTGTGTAATGATTGAAGGTGGGATGAATATTTGAATCATGGCAGAATTCGAATCAGTGACCACCGGGTTTCCGGCCAACTGAGCTATGAGGTCCGACTGCTGACCACATTTTCACTTCACTTCAATCCCCAGGGCGAGTTTTTCTCGAATACCACGTGAATCTGTGATGCGTTACTACCTCTCGATCGTATTTTCAGATAGTCAGGATGATAACCAATATGATGCTCCTCGTCTCTGATTCAATTAGATTTGGATTGAGATGAGAAGTCCTGACTTTAAATTGTGGAAACAACACACTTCGGAAGCCAGACAAACAGCAGTTGCATGAAGAGGATTATTGTAATCTAAGGCTGTTGTCGTCTTTATAGAAACTAGCCCAGATTTGAAGATTAACCAAGCGTCGTAATAAGAGGAGCAGGAAACCATATGTTTGAAGTTTCATCATAGTGGATCAAAGCATTAGACAGTAAGATGTTTATCTGTGCATTTGATGAATTTTTCATTGTATTTTTCAAATGTTTCAGTTCGGAGATAGTATAAAAAGGGTTTGTCACTTTAAAGTAGGATGATAGATGCTGTCTACAAGTTATCACTGAGCTTTCCTGTTAAGTGGTAAGGTGATAGCAGTAGCAGTACTACTCACTCGAGTGCTGCTGGCTATATATACCGATTGCTACTGTACAAAACTACGTACATAGTATCAAACTTGTTTGGCTTACTCTTCGTCCTATCACAGTTTACGTGATAGGTTACTGTCTGAAAAATCTCATCAAAGACATATTTTATGTTCCGCTGCTGAAGTGAAAATAAATTTCGGTCAGAAGTCTGGTCCCACATCATCATCATCGTTATCAATATCAACATAGGACAAGGCATTACTGCGTAACGGTCCGAGTTGCCACACCTCATATCAGTACATCAAGCAGAAAGGTAGTGAGGGATGAAGATAAGAGAATACAGTCAAAAGAAATATGAAGTACGAGAAGAAAGAAAGGAAGAATGAGAAAATGGTGAGATTCGGCATAGCATCGTTAAGATGAGGATAATGTGTGTGTGTGGATACATCTGTGCCACTGACATCAGTTCTGAGCCATGTCACCTAGAGTCTCCAACCACTGGTTCCCTCTTGTCCCGCGGACCCCAACCACCTAGTCTGCGTTGCCCCACATCGCTCAAACCAACAATCAGAGACTTCATACATTGGTACCATGTTTTAGTCTGGCCACCTCGGGCTTTTCTCCAGCCTGGACCTACTTCAGCCAACATTGTATGATGAGGCAATCGGTGATTGGGTATGCGTAATACGTGTCCCAACCATCTCAGTTGATGAAGGTTCATAACCTCGTCAACTGATTTACCTCTACTCCCTAAAACTCTATACCTGACTTCTGCATTATTCACGTGGTGACACCACGGAATACGGCTTATACTACGAGGGCAACGGTGATCAAACACCTGAAGCCTTAATCTTCAAAACAATACCATATAGTTTTGCATTGAATTTTGATATAATAGACAAGTATTGTGTCATAGTTCACTTTCATTCTTACAGTGGATAAAATCTTTCACTTACTCACTTCATTCTGTGGGAAACTGATTCGTCAGTAAAAATGTTTTTACTGTTCCCCTTGTCAATTTGGGTATCATTTATTTGGAAACAATATTTAATCATTTTAAAAATAGATGCAACTTATTTCAAGAAGTTGTACATGAAAGGTTCTCTAGTAATAAAGTTAAATGCATTGGAAAGGCATATAAAAGTTTTTCATGTTTTCAAGAAAATGCATATTTTTTCACTCATAAAAGTTAGGCTAACATTTTAAGATTCTACCGATAAGGATCTGACATCAGTTGGAGAACCTCTGAAAGCCTAAGAGGATTGGATAGCTGTTTCGACATTGTATGGGACTCCTCTGCTGTATGCACCTATGACCTTAACGGTCAAGGATTGAACTGAGGACCTTCAGGTTTAACAAAGAATACATTATCTATTCAACCACTGAAGAGGAGTTCAATGATCCATAGTTTCTTACTTCTGTCAATTTGCGAAACAGTGTGACTATCCACTATATATGTCCAAGTTTGGGAAATTCACTGGGTGATATATTTTATCTTAAGTTATAAAAATAAATACACATACTTTTACTATATATTTGGTAGCCATAAGTAGTGAGATCTAGAATTCGCGTTTCTTACTATTCAGGATTCTTCAACTGGATACCACTGAATCCTGACGTTGATATTGCCGCTGAGACAACCCAATAATCATCACTTTTACTATCAAAGGCTTAATTCTCAGGTTATTGAGTTACTCACTCATTTAGTAACAACATGAAACGACGTTACTCTATAGTGGTTCAAATTGTCACACCTCGTATTAGTACATCAAGCGATAATGAACCAACATGAAGGATATAGAAGGCAGTCAAAAGTTATGAATGGTAAGGATAAGAAAACAAGGATGAACGAAATAGTAATTGAATTGGATATAATGATTAACATGAATATAATACGTGGTTACATTGAAGTAACTGAGATCAATTCTTGGCCATATCAACTAAAGTCTACAACCGCTGGTTTATGTTGCTACGTGGACATCAACCGGCTCACACCAACGGTCAAAATCTTCACAGACTGACATACTATTTTAGTCTGACCGCTTCGAATCATTTTCCAGGTTGGTTGTACTATAGCTAACATATCATGATGATGCAGACTGCGACTAGGTGTGCAAGAGACATATCCCAGTCATCTGAGTCAATGAAAGTTCACAACTTCATCAACTAAGTTACCTTTCATACCCGAAAATCTACTCTTAACTTCCGCCTTACTGACTTGGTGGCACCGCTGTCTACTACTTATGCTACGAAGGCAACTAACTTAGTTACGAAACATACAAGACAATATTGAGACAATCATATATATGGATTTCACGTAGCAATAGGATCTAATCAATTCAGTGCTGTATATCAAGTACGGAAAACAAAATAAAACTCCAGAAATGAATACACTTAATTCAATCCACTTGTTTTTTGTTGCTAGCCTTTGAAAGTAA